CTTCAATCACCCTGTCCCCTGCTGCTTGTACATCTACCTGCCCGTCTTCGACGCATCTCAGCAGTTTTCTGAAGGAATCTAAACTACCAGCCAGTCCCTTCTGGAATTCATCCCGTGTCCCCTCGTNCTGTGTGCTCCCCCTTTCTACCAGGATGTAGTCGAGGATCGAGTATTCATTGCAAACTGCCCGTTGCCTGGTGAACTCCGGCTTATCGAATTCCCTCCTACCGTTCAACACCATCAGCTCGTTGCTTCCCAAGAGTTCAAGCATATTCTCGTCGTCTTCGTTTGTGTCGACATCCGCCCGTGCGGCTATTGCAGTCTCAACGTCTTCCTCAAACTTGGTCTCGACGACAGAGTCATGACGACCGTGTGGGCACTCGGGTGCGGCGGTGGTGAAGCGCCATACGGTCGGAAAAGGGTGGCTGCGCAAATCATGTCGGCGTCTCCGATGACAACCTTGTAGTTGATTTCGGCGTCGGCGAAACACTCCTTCGCCTTTTCCATGAGGGTCTTGGTTTGGGTCGGGTTTTCCTCGTGCTTTGCCTGCGCCACGAGCTTTTCGGGCTCCATCGCGAAAGCATTGCCGAGGTTGTTGCGCACGATGCTGACTCCACTGTCGTTGCATCGTGTCGTGAAAAAGGTCAGGGCCTCCCTGTAGATGACCTTCGCCGCGGCAATGTTTCCTGTGGCCAGGGTCGTGGTGGCGAACTATTCAACCGTGTTCATGGCCGGGGCGGCTTCCATGAGCTCCTCAACCTCGGGGCAGGATATGCGGTTGACCATATGAGGCCCTGCAACCTGTGCCACGCACGCACACATACCCGAAAGGTTTACAAGAATCGACACCGCTATCAAGAGACGTGGGCATGCCGCTTGTGCAGCAGCGCCTGTAGGGGTTGAGCTTGCGAGAATGATGTGGGCACATTTCTGAGGTAGCTTTTCCATCACTGGGCTCCGAACCCACTCCCCAGCAAGTTTGTGGAAAATCATAACACATCGGCGGACACTCATGGTAGGGGAGTGTGCATATACACCACGTGTTTTGCGGAGATGTTACAACAGGGCCTCTCGGCCGGCCGCCTCTTGACAACATCATGTGCCGTCTCGAAGTCGAGTCGCAGCGAATCCGGTGTCACGCATCCTGCTTGTTGGTGAGTACGCTCGAGAGAAGCTCTTGCTGACAAATTTGCGAGATGCATGTGGCATGCGCGCAACAATACGTGCATGACTCCGCATCGGAGCCTTTTACCACACAAGGCGATGAGCGCAGGATACGAACTCAGAGAGCGCTCTAGAGAGGAGGTGTTGGAAATCCGGACAGAGCACGGCAGGCTTTTCGCCGACCAGCTCCAATGAGGTGATGCAGCAAGCGAGAGGAATCATACCTGCCGCGAAAAATCCAACCTGTTGAGTGCGTGCACGACGTAGATGAGCTGGTTGATCGGACCCACGATCCCGCCAGCCACGAATCGAGCAGTGACACCCGTGATGCAGGCGATTACGGTCAGCACCAGGGCCATGATGAGGCTCGCGAGGATAACCACCCGGGGAATCTGTCCTGGAGAAGGTCTAGATCACGTGCGTGCCAGGATGCCATGCCAAAGGGAACGAGGCGGGAAGGAAGGGAACGGAAAAAATAAATATTGGTTCCACAGTTAGAGCCACTGCTAGCAAAACTGTTCTGAAACAAGACAAATGCGCTTCTCCATCGCGTCGTTTGTCCTCGCAGGCTCCAGAGATACTGCATCTCCATCTAGGCTGGTCCCAGGAAATATCCTGTAGACGCGCCGGCGCCGCTCACGGTCTCGTGCTTCCAGGCCAGGATCCACGTGCTGCCGTCCCTCGAGTATTCCGCGGAGCCGGAGCAGGTGGCGGAGTTCTCGGTGACAAGATCAAGAAACTGTGATTTCTCCTTGCCGTTTTTCGTCGGCGTCGCCTCCGAACTCCAAGTCCAGGATGTAGTTCGCGCCGCCGTAGTTCAGCAGATCCCTGTGCACGGTCACCTGTCCGTCCCCGCCCGGGGTCAGCAGGTAGGCATAACTGTCGTAGCTGATGACCGTGAGATTCTTAATGGAGCTGTCGATGTTTGTCGTGTTGATGTCCAGCCCAACCACTCCGGCCACGGTGCCGGCCGAGTTGAAGACCGGCGCTACTGCCGTCAGGGTCAGCTCCTGCGAACCGGCGTCCTCGTAAGGGTTGGTGGGGATGACCCCGGTGTTGCCGATCCCGATGGCGCCTTGGTGCCACAGTCTGCATCGCGGCTCGTACGAGTCCCGGGTGTACGTGGTTTCATCCCAGCTGTCGCATACCTGGTTGACGTTTGAAGAATTGTTTTACATTTTCGAACCTGTTCTCTCCCAGAGCATTCGTGTGAATACCCGTTAGTGTTTCGAGATGAGTCTTCCAACACAACCTCATACGAAGGGACGCCACCGATACGTGTGGTACTGGTTAGTCGTTGTTCCCTGCATGCTTACCTCATCCACGCCCCATTCCAGCAAAGGGGTCATATCGAACCCGGCGTAAGCCTGGAAATTGATATCCGAGATCGTGTCGGCGGCGGGAGGTGGATCGTCCAAGGCTGCGAGGCACACAAGGGGATGCTGCCGTAGCATTCCCCGTAAGGGAACGTCCATGAGCGACGAGCGGTTGAGCAGGCTTTTCAGGGACCCGCAGGTCTCGGGCACCTCACCCGTAGGCAGGTCCGGGATATACCTGGACGAGCAATTGGCGGCGACATTCAGTTTACTCGCCTGAGCCACGTCTACTGACATGCACACAATTGAACACCCACACATCCTTTAGCAATCGCTTCGAAATCATGTCCACGATAATTGATTACTTCCGGTTGAAAAGTAATATACGCGGGGTGCAGCAAGCCCGTCCTGGGCGTTACTTGGGGCACTGGGTAGTCGGCCGTGTTAGGCCGAGAGAGAGAGGTTGAGAGAGAGGTGGTGAGAGAGTGGGAGAAGGAAAGTTGATTGGAGAAAGACGGCGGTGGCGGTGGAGAGAGAGAAGGAAGAAGTGCGCAGCACGCAGGCAAGCCTCATCGTACCAACCGCGCCAAAAGGGTCCCCGTGACTGCACCGGTGGTACCCTACAACACACGAAATTCCCAACACGTATCCCTTTGGGATCCTCACGACCAGATACTGCCGCGAACATATCTAACATTCCCCCTGCTCGCAACAGTTTCTCACTAAAAACTTCGCTAACATCCGATATTTCAACCGAAAGACGTCTTTCCCAGAACATGAGTCATCAAGATTGCTTCCAAATATAAGAAAATGAAAAGAATACCAAGAAACTTGAATGCTGCATCGCGCACAATTTATACCTTATGCGCGGGAAACAAAACAAAACCAAAACAAAACCCATCAGAGAACAATAAATGTTCGTGTCAAATTCATCACAAAATCACGGTGAGACTCGAAAGTGTCCTTCGGCAAGCTCTTCGCAAGAAAATCTGCACGCTGGTATGGCGACGGAACGTGGATCACCGAAATTTCCTTCCTCTCTACCAGTCCCCTGAGAAAATGTTGCCTTACATCTATGTGCTTTGAGTTTGAGTTTGAGATGGGGTTCTGCGCTGAATCGCCCCCCAGTTGTCCTCGAAGACTGGGATGCACAGCATGCCCACCTGCGGCAACATGAAACGCCAAATCTGCCTCAAAAACAAATCTCCTTCACCACGTCACCAAGCGCGACTTACTCTGCTTCTGTCGTCGAAAGCGTATCACACTTCTGCGTTATGGAAAACCAAGACGCCACATCAAAGATCCGACTACTTCACGAAACGGAAAGTCTGTCGCCACCTCATCCGCATCAAAACCAGAAAGCTTCACCCCCGAAGACATCGGAACGCTTNGCATGCCCACCTGCGGCAACATGAAACGCCAAATCTGCCTCAAAAACAAATCTCCTTCACCACGTCACCAAGCGCGACTTACTCTGCTTCTGTCGTCGAAAGCGTATCACACTTCTGCGTTATGGAAAACCAAGACGCCACATCAAAGATCCGACTACTTCACGAAACGGAAAGTCTGTCGCCACCTCATCCGCATCAAAACCAGAAAGCTTCACCCCCGAAGACATCGGAACGCTTTTACCTCCCACTACTCCATACTCTGCTGCTAGCTCATCCGTGANTCCGTGAAAGTCTGCTGAGAAATCGTCAACCTACCGGTCTCCTTGTTCCTCTCGTAAAAGCACCCAGAATACCATCTCAACTCTCCCAGGTTCTTCACTGGCACGGACTTGTTGAGGTCGGCGCCAAACTTATCGCATCTCTCCTCTCTCCCACAGCAAAAATGTCATCTACATGTACTTCCAAAATCAAATCAACACATCCATTCTCAATCAAACGAACACACAAGCATCGGCCATGCACTGCTCAAAACCTAACGCCACCAAACACCTCTTCAGCATTGCATGCCACTGCCTAGATGCCTGTCTTAAGCCATACAGACTCTTGCCTAGTTTTACAATCATTCCTGATAGAGCTCCACATCCCTGCGGCAAACGCATGTACACGTCTTCCTCCAACTCCGAACGCACAAAAGCTTGCTCAATATCGAAATGACACAAGTCGAGTTTCAACTCGCACGCCAAAGCAACCAACATCCTAACACACGAAGCAGAAACGGTAGGCGCGTACAACTTTCCGAACTCAATGTACTCTCTCTGCATATCACCTCTCGCTACAAGTCTCGACTTAACCTTAGTGGGCCATCCAAACTCATCTGCCTTCCAATCGAATACCCACTAAGCTTTAATTGTGTTCTTCATTAGTTGCTACTTCGCCGGAGTAAAAGTCCCCGCTTCCAAAAAGCCATGAAACTCCCTTTGTATAGAGTCGCTCCAGAGGTTTCGGTGCTCCGACGCCATCGCCTCTTTGTAGCTCTTTGGAACAAGAAGGTCGCTGGCCTGGCAGTGCGGAAGGTCAGGGCGTTGCTCCGGCGGGCGCTGGTCTCGCAGCGTGGCGCCGATGTCTTCCCGGTTGGCGAGGAGCGTGGCAAATGCGAGTGGAAAGCCCGCTCCTCCAGCCCCCGGGTCCACCGCTGCGAGTGCTCCCGCCTGCCCTCCGGCCCCCGCTCCCCCCGGCTCTCCGGCCTCTGCCCCCCCCAGCTCCCTGCGCTCCTCATCCACTGCGCTCTGAGCCTCCAGCATCGACACCAGAGTGTTCTTGTCTAGCATCTAGATGAGCCCTGTGCTGTGCCTTGTGCCTGATCTCGTGCGGCTTGGCAGCCGCGGGTCTGTCATACCCTCGGCCTTTGTACCCGGGCGAAGCTGCCGCATGGCGTGAGCCGTATCGCGGGGTTCGGCGGCGACGGCGGCTGGTCTGGATCGGGGGTCGCTGACGGTTACGGCGAAGTGGCGGAGGACGGCTGGCCAGGAGCGGGGGTCGCCGACGGTGAAGGCGAAGTGGCAGAGGGCGACTGTGAAGGTGTAGGAGCAGGCGGCGGCGTGGTCGCTGGCGGAGGCGTTGCGGCAGGGGGCGAAGCGGCAGCGGGAGCGGGAGCGGGCGACGGCGTGGGCGCTGGCGGTGGCGGTGTGGCGGTCGAAGGCGTCGGTGCTGGGCCAAAGTTGATCGAGACGACCGGCGGCGTGAACGGGGGGGGTGTCGGCGCAGCGGTGATACCAGCGGAACCCCCCTCGCCGGCTGGCGCCGACGTCACCCACGACACGTTGTTGGTGTAGACGACGCGGCCGGTGGACGCCTTGAGGACCTTGACGGTGCCGCTCGGGTGGTTGTCGCCGCCGTTCAGGTAGTAACAGAGCGTGGCCTGGTCGTCGAGCTTGGTGCGGCGGTCCTCGCGCATGAAGCCGGGCTGGAAGAACGGCAGCACGCGGAACGGCCCCTGCTCGCCGGTGAACATCTCGTGCGGCGAGCGCCGCCCGGGGTTGGCCTTGGTCGCCGACTGGTTGAGAGCGTCGGTGGCCCATTTCGCCGATTCCATCCAAAGAAGGTCACCGCGCTCGTCGAGACCGGGGATGGAGGCGAAGTCGACGTTGAACACACGGCCAGCGCTGCGGCGAGCGGTCATGCCGGCCTTCACAATGCGCCAGATGGCACTCTCGACGACGCCGTTGTACTGCAGAACGCCAGGAGTTGTGAACTCGACGCCGATGCAGTTGTCGTCGCAGAAGCGCCGGAAGTCGCCGCGGGTCCACTCGGTGCCGTTATCGACGTGGAAACACTCGATGCGCCCGAGGTCGTACCGCTTCACGTCCGCCAGCAGCCTTTTCGTTGCCGCCAGCGCGTCGGACTTCCGCCGGAGACCGTAGACCTTGTTCCACCGCGAGGCGCTGTCCACGGCGACGAACAGATAGAGGTTGCCGCCCAGGGAAGGCACCAGCGGTCCACACAGGTCTAGGTGAACACGCCCCAGTGGCTTCGACGCCCGCGCTCCCGGCCCCCGCGGCACCGACGCTCGCCTGCCCTTCGCCTTCATGCAGTCCGTGCACGGTTCCAGCTTGCCCGTGAGCACGATGCCTCTCTGCTGGGCAGTTTCTCTCAAAAGAGGCTCGCAAGCGTGGGCAAGGGAGCGGTGGAAGTGGTTGATGTCAACGGACTTCTCAGTCGAACCAAGAGCAAACGGGGACGCACCAGGGCCAAGCGCGGCCGCACCCAAGTCAAAATCAGCACCCCCATCAATGCTATCCAAAACACCAGCCACATTCGCAGCGTCACTCTCTGGGATAAACACAGGGAAAAGATCTTGATACGGGGTGTCATCATGGCCATCCATGAGCTGCTCGTCGGTGAGCACGCTCGTATCTCCAAGAAGATCCATACCCGGAAAAGTACCCACACACACAAACTCGGACGCCGAGGAACGTACTACGTCTGCAGAGCCGACGGGCGGGGCGCTCTCACTCGCAGGTACTACACTGGTGGGACCAGTGGGCGGCTATCAGCCAAAGGTACTACGCTAGCAGAGCCAGCGGGAGGAGCACGCAACACGGACACCACTGATTCCCCGGAGCCCCCTTCTTGAGAAGGGGAACGCGCGGAGTCAACGGCGGGGGCGGAACGGGGGCAGTCACGAATGCGGGCAAAGCAGAAGGGTCTACAATAGTCGCAGATGGGTCGTACGGCAGCCGCATGGCATACGCTGCAGACGCTTTTTCCTCTCTAGCAAAGAGCAGTCCATTTTGTAGGGTTGCACCACGCTCGTCGTAGAGGATTGGTTGCTTCAGAGAAACAGCATGCGTTGAGAACAAGTTGAAGCTCAGGCTCTCTACAACAGACACGTCAGTGAGCTTCACACACATCATCATTTTCTCACCATTCTCATCCTCCTGAAAGAAACTAAGATTGATGCTACCGATAGCTTGCACTTCGAGCAGTCGACATCACCTACAACGACATCTACTTCCTACTGGCGGGGATCTCTTGCAGGTCGTACATGTGTAGGCTGCTGTTGGTGAAACTGTTGCTGGCCCCTGAGTCAGCTATNAGATGGGTCGTACGGCAGCCGCATGGCATACGCTGCAGACGCTTTTTCCTCTCTAGCAAAGAGCAGTCCATTTTGTAGGGTTGCACCACGCTCGTCGTAGAGGATTGGTTGCTTCAGAGAAACAGCATGCGTTGAGAACAAGTTGAAGCTCAGGCTCTCTACAACAGACACGTCAGTGAGCTTCACACACATCATCATTTTCTCACCATTCTCATCCTCCTGAAAGAAACTAAGATTGATGCTACCGATAGCTTGCACTTCGAGCAGTCGACATCACCTACAACGACATCTACTTCCTACTGGCGGGGATCTCTTGCAGGTCGTACATGTGTAGGCTGCTGTTGGTGAAACTGTTGCTGGCCCCTGAGTCAGCTATCCATCTCTCGCTACCAGGCGGTCCGTCACTAGATTCCACACTCAGCAAAGAAGAAGCAGACGCAGCAGACTCTACTCCAATCGTCACTCCTATCCTACTGAAAACATCTTCGGGGTAAGACTTGCCTGGGGGCACGGATTGTGCCTTGCAGAGGTGGAGGTAGCCCGAAGATGGAGGCGCACCAGGAGAAGGAGTAGAGGACGAGGAGGAAGCGGTGCTGCTGCTGCTCGCGGGGGGGGGCTGACGTGGCTGCCCGGATAACGAACCTTCGCCAGTGGGAGGGTAGTGGACGTAGTGGATGCCGCCGTCAGACGAACGGCTGTTTTCGTACCCTGAGGAGTAGCTGTAGAGAGCGACNGACGCAGCAGACTCTACTCCAATCGTCACTCCTATCCTACTGAAAACATCTTCGGGGTAAGACTTGCCTGGGGGCACGGATTGTGCCTTGCAGAGGTGGAGGTAGCCCGAAGATGGAGGCGCACCAGGAGAAGGAGTAGAGGACGAGGAGGAAGCGGTGCTGCTGCTGCTCGCGGGGGGGGGCTGACGTGGCTGCCCGGATAACGAACCTTCGCCAGTGGGAGGGTAGTGGACGTAGTGGATGCCGCCGTCAGACGAACGGCTGTTTTCGTACCCTGAGGAGTAGCTGTAGAGAGCGACCTCCACCTCGCGCCTCTCCCCCTTGCTCCTCTCGCGCTCCATCTTCACGTGGGCGTCCCTCACCACAGTCTCAAGGGCACGCAACGCCAGGACATCATGGGCAAGCAGCATACCTGAGCGGGCAAAGCCCTGTTGTTCAGCAATGGCCTCAGCTGTCGCCTTAGCCGCTTGCGCCACGATGTGTGCGACGCTGCTGGGGTCGTTGAAGGTGGCTCGTTTGCCCTGGCTGGAGGGTGATGGCTGGTTGCCGGTAGGTGGGACTGGGTTGCCGGCTGGTGGTTGGGCGTAGGTGATTTCACCCTCGTTGATCCTGTTGGCTCCGAGTTCGACTTGTACTCGTTACTGGACAATCTCCTCCACTTTTTGATTTTGCTCTTACCCGCTATGGGCGGAGAGGTCGACGCCCTCCATGGTGTCTGTTGTCGTGGGAGTCTACCGCTTGCGCGTGACTGCACAACCCCCGGGAAGCTACCCCCGCGTGCAGATACCGTGATATCGCACTAGTGTGAAAGGTAAACTACGCGGGGTGCAGCAAGCCCGTCCTGGGCGTTACTTGGGGCACTGGGTAGTCGGCCGTGTTAGACCGAGAGAGAGAGG